AGTTGGGTGAAAAAAGATCTAAGATCGTGATTAATACTTTTATAATTAATATTCGCAGGGATAATTTGGATTTGATTGGTGTAGAAGCATTCTAGAGGATGGAAATTCATTTATCGACGTGTGTTCGATGAAATGCTTCCCGGATTTCCCGTTGGCAGCATTTGCAAAAGCGTACGAAATTCAAATCGAATGGCGGGATTTATCAAACCACGAAGAATGAATATAGACGAATTGTAAGGTGTATTTTTCGTTTATTTCGAATTGATTTTTTAATGAAATTTTAGAAAAGTATAATCTGAGTGTATACGTTAATCGCAAAGCGTAAAATTTTTGGTAGAAAAGTATATGCCAAGAAAAGAAAAAATGATTCAATGATTCGAAATTACTCGATGAAACAGAGTCGATAAATAAAATAGTTTATCAGACATTTTTACTTTAAACTTTAAACGTAGTTACCTTTGAAGCTATATAAAAATCAAACTTCAGATGCATTTTAGAAAAAGTTTTGCGATCATTTATCGATCTTTTTTATATTTCCATCCTTCAAGATATAATAACATTTTAAGGTAAACTCAACCTTTCCATATATTTTCTATAATTGTCTGATAGTTCAATTTTCTCACCAAAAAGAAAATAAATATTTCAATTTACAAGATTTACCCAGCGATCGAGCCATTACCTTTCCACAATTTCTCAAAATTAATGAAGTTAATAAAATCAGCCTAACTTCAATTTTTCAACAAGAAATCCACGAAATACTTCCAACTTTCCGAAACCTTGAATCAGAAAGCACCTTTCGGAAGAAAAAGGGAAGAAATCGATTAGAACCGGTACAGTGGCAATATTTTCATAACACCGCAGCGCCTACTCTCCCGGAAGGCATTTGTTAGCATCACCGGAAGTGGAGGACGTATATCAGGTTTCTGTGACTTCCATAGCCTTCTCCCTTTCGCAACTGCTTGGGACAACGTGCACGCACGTAGCTCAGAAACTTAAATCAAAAGGAGGAGGACACCTTATCAAATCGTGGCTCGCGTACATAAAACGCGAAAACCCGTAATAAATCGTCTGGTTATAATTACCGTATGTTGTTATTAGGGCTGGATCGCCGCCAGAACTCGAGCAGAGACCACGGTAAAATACTGCTATCTACGGTAGATAAGCAGAGAGCCGAAAGCTCGCCTGGTAGAGGCGTACAGAGGCGGGAAAAATCGATATTATCCAGGTTCGCAAACCGACGAGCCCTTCCCAGAACGTTATATTTAGATATAGACCCTTCCCTCGTCATCAAGTAGCACGGTAGAACGGTGGACCTTGCGCGACTGCCCCTGGAAACGGATATTAACGCGGTTAACGATGCCCGTTTCTGCATCGTGGTCCACCATTTACGTGCTCGTAACGTGTACTACAAACGAAACGCTCAAGAATTCGAGAGAAACTTATCAAAGCTTCTGAGACGTGCTGAACGTCGAAATAATAATTCAGATTGTCTTTATACGACGAATATGTTAATGTATCGCGTGTAATAAGTGAATCGAATAGAAAAACTCGACTGGATTATATGGAATCACAATTGCACGCACGCACGCTCGCTCATATAGCGTGATATATCACGCATGACAGGAACGGAAATAAGAAAAAGAAAAGAAAAAGAAAAAAATCCACGCTCTATACTTCCTCAATATAGAAATCATGCCCATAAGACATCCCCAAGAATTCCAAGACTTTCAAGATTTTTAAGGCGTCTAAGACGTTCCACAGTCTCAAGATTCACGAAAACTTTCAAGATTTCTAAGTTTCCAATGTGTCTATGTAACGAAAAAGTCGCTTATAACGTGATTCGAAGCTTAGAACGCTTGAAACTTTGATCCCATCGGTATCAATCTCCAACTGGATAGATATCGAGATGTTATAGCGCGATATCGCGTGTAACAGGCTCGTACGATTGTCCGTTGTATCTTAACGAAGCATTGTGCGTTATTCTATATGGATGACTATTCTTTTTTCTCTCTTTCTTTTTGGTTAGTCGATTTTCTCGTTGTTTTATTTCCATTCGATCGAAGTTTAGCTCTATGCGGTAGAGTCGAGTGATCGTAACATCCGTGTGCCTTTTTTGGTGGCATATTGTTTTGACATGAGCTTTTATTCGACTCAGTTAGTCTTTCTAGTTGGGTTAGGTTAACTTGTTCGTCTCAGAGGCAATTTATTTTGATTCCTCTGGTCGAACTGAATCTACGTAAACCGTAAGTAGAATAGGCGTATGTAAACCATAAGCAGGGTAGGAACCTACTTATATGCAAATTATTATTTTAACGTTATAGAGGGTGGTTGGTAACTGGCGAAGGATAGTCTTTAAGGCAAACTTAACTCATGCTTTTTATATTTCTCGCGATAGAAAAAAGTAAAAAGGATGATATACGCCAGTGGACAAAAGGATATGTAAAAAAAATTTCGAAAACAAAACGCAAAAATTTCAAAAATTAAATATTTCGAAGAAATGCAGAAACAAAGTCATTCTTTGCTGGAACAGGAAAGAAACAAAAAGGACGACATGTCACTGAAGAAAATGGGGTGCGATAGAATTCCAAGAAATAAAGAAAGATATAAATTGTACAAATACAATAAACAAAAATATGTCTCTTCAACCAATTGAACTTGCAAGATTCGAGACCAAATACACACACGAACACACTACATATTTATGTTATATTTCTCGTCTCAATAAAAGAGGAACGAAAGGATTGAACAAAAGCGTCTGTATAAGATTTCTGCCAAACAAAACCTAAGAATTTTTAGGGTCGAGAATAAATCAAAATATTTCTTTAGTAAATTAATACTTAAACTATTGATGATCGTATTATGAGACTTGTAGACTTCTTTTTACTAAAGAAACTAACATCAAACTTACCTTACCAAATATCATTCAAATACAGGGTGGTTGGTAACTGGTGGTACAAGCGGAAAGGGGGTGATTCTACGCGAAAAAAGAAGTCGAAAATATAGAATAAAAATTTTTTTCTTTTTTTTTTTAATTTTTCCATCGAGACAACGATCTACAGTGAGATCCGTTATAACGAGACGTGATAAAATGCACGCGTACCGAGCGAAAATTCAAAGTCGATTTTCTCGAAAACAAAGCCTCAAACGAAAAATTTTTATTCTATATTTTCGACTTCTTTTTTCGCGTAGAATCACCCCCTTTCCGCTTGTACCACCAGTTACCAACCACCCTGTATTTGAATGATATTTGGTAAGGTAAGTTTGATGTTAGTTTCTTTAGTAAAAAGAAGTCTACAAGTCTCATAATACGATCATCAATAGTTTAAGTATTAATTTACTAAAGAAATATTTTGATTTATTCTCGACCCTAAAAATTCTTAGGTTTTGTTTGGCAGAAATCTTATACAGACGCTTTTGTTCAATCCTTTCGTTCCTCTTTTATTGAGACGAGAAATATAACATAAATATGTAGTGTGTTCGTGTGTGTATTTGGTCTCGAATCTTGCAAGTTCAATTGGTTGAAGAGACATATTTTTGTTTATTGTATTTGTACAATTTATATCTTTCTTTATTTCTTGGAATTCTATCGCACCCCATTTTCTTCAGTGACATGTCGTCCTTTTTGTTTCTTTCCTGTTCCAGCAAAGAATGACTTTGTTTCTGCATTTCTTCGAAATATTTAATTTTTGAAATTTTTGCGTTTTGTTTTCGAAATTTTTTTTACATATCCTTTTGTCCACTGGCGTATATCATCCTTTTTACTTTTTTCTATCGCGAGAAATATAAAAAGCATGAGTTAAGTTTGCCTTAAAGACTATCCTGCGTAATCTATTTTTGCTGTTTACGCGTCGTTCCATTTGTTTCTCTCTCATTGGAACAACTTTGGACGAACAATTTTCAATGAAAATTGAACAATAAAATATCCTTTCGACAACTAAAAAAAAAGGCATTTGCATTTCGATATAACGTATGAAAAAAAGAAATTCGAGAAAGGTAATTCGATGGAAGCGTGCGATTCTCGTGAAAATTTACGTGAAATAGTACTAATATTTCAAACGTATCAATTCTCTAGGAAGGACAAATGTCATATTCTAATTTTATCTTTTTCCGTGGAATCATCCGTGACCGATATTAGAATCTGAAAGCATAAAAGTTCGTGTGCATGGTTCTCAATGGTGGCTAAAGCAGATATTGCGACGTTCGATTCTATATCCCATCTTCGTTGATACTTTGAGTGTCGTATATCAAGCCACGGTGAATATTTGCTTTTATATGCACACCTTGGGATATGTATGCGGTTTTGGTACAGGCAAGGATCGAAATTGAATAAACACGCAATTTATAGTGGCAGATGAAAGAGAATTTTAAAAGTGATTACTAAGAGAGGATACGATAATCTTAGAAAATGGAATTATAGTAGCTCATAACGATATTCGAACGCCTATAGGAACAGTTTATAAATATATTATTATGTTATGTGAAATTTGTATGAAATTTTAATATCACTGTAATGAGACAGGATTATCATGATTGTATTGATAAAGTTTGAAAGAAAACTTGAAATGTACAGAGAAAATTGAATTTATTATCAGGTAGTTGAGTAAGAAACGTTTGTATGTCATACAATATGAAACAAGGCAGTAACATTTAATTCATAATTCATATATGCGAATGTTATATTCAAATTGTGGAATGAAAATGATGTTTCGTGTTTCCCCTATGTCTCTCCCGTTAATTATACCTTTATTTATAACTTATGCAATGCTCTTTTAATGCAACATAATAATATAACTTTTTATTTTTAATCTTCTCACTGGACGCTATATACAGACGACTAAAACCTTAGACTTAGCTGTTTCAATGTCCCATATGCAAAGATACAGCATAAAAATAACAAAGTTGTCATAGGAATTGTAGAAATGGTTAAAGGAGTTGTTAGAGTATAATTGAATGATTACGCTTCGGTAATAAGATTCTTAATGAATGTTTTATTATTTCAGGGATCACATTGGAAAAGGAAAAGAACAGAAACGGAAATTACATACTCTTTCAATATGAAACCAACGTGTGATGTGTAAACCTGCATAAAGAAGCTTTCTCTTTAATCTATAAAAGGGTGCATATCGGCCAACATGATGAATTGAAGAGAAATTGTGTAGGTTGAATATTCGCAAGTAGGTCGAGAAGTTCATTAGAATTCTATAAAGTACCATTACATTTTTTTTCACGAGAGAGAACAGTAATTTTCTACTTATTTTAATATGATCTTCTGACAGTATACAGAACGATTCTATAGATAATACTTTTTTAATTTACTTTAATTTAGCTTAATTTATGTGTCAGGAGAAGCGCGAATCTTTTTGGGTCATTAGCGAGACTGCTGTATTGCATTACATAGTTCGATTATAGATGCAAAGAAATTTTCTTGTGTTTCTATTTTCCTTGATTTTCATATAATAGCTTTTATCAGCTTTAACCCAATACCTTTTAACCGAAAAAATGATCTTAAAATCATAAATTACAAGGTCTGTTATTCTAAATAAACTAATTCTATCTTGATCCAATTTTTTTACCACAAAATTCTCCTCCTATCAATGTAATTTACGTTAAAGTACACAAATTTGAACATTAATAAAAAAGGTAAAATAATTATAAATTTAATCAAATTTTTAATAGGGAAATGTGTACCTACATACATATAATCTTACAAATATCGTTATTAGAATGAATAGGATTTGGTGATTTGGTCAAACGTAAAATTATAAAATTCGAATAAAAATGTCCAATCCTCCGTCGATCGATTTTTTTCTCATAAAATTCCTTCTCAATCTTCGTATATCCCATTTTTTAACTAAAAAGAACGAAAGAATTTTATCACCAAGTAAAACTGAATTTTTTAAATATACATAGCAGAAGCTTCGATTAAAGGAAAATATTTTTCTAAGAATTCGGTTTCCGTCGAATTCCGTTGTTCGCTACACTGTTATTACATCAGCTTAAAACATTAAAAGTCCTATCTCCGTCGTCGTTTCAACGATTTGTACTCGCGTTTGGTTTGCACAAATAGCAAACACGACTGTGAAAATTTTACAGGAACCGTCGTCACAGTTCTCGTCGACCACGCTATCAATGTTTACGTTTTACTTTAATCATACAGCGCACACGCGTTGTTATTAGTAAAGTAAGGGCTGCCAAGAAGGTTGCATCGTATCACGTATACAGGGCAGGCAATGAATGAACTATTTTTTGACTTTGTTTTACCGGATATTCGTTCGAAACATTGGGGCAATTTTGTAAAATAATTTATTAACTGATTACTAGGTTGCGAATGTTCTCATATAATTAGATCTACTAATCGGAAACAGGAGAGTAGAAACAACCTAATAATTAGATTGTATTAAATTAATAAATTATTATACAATCGTATAATATTAAAAATAAACAGCATTTATTTAATAAATTCGAGACCGGTGGCATAGCATATATGTCATGCAGTATCTTGTCGCATGACAACACATGTATATCATCAGTATTTTCAGACAATTTTCAGACAACAGTCAACAAAGCAATGATTGCAGAAATAATGAAGGTTTATATTTAGGAGAGTATCTCGAAAATTGTTGTCACGTATGATTTATATTATTTTAAACAATTTTATTTGTTTAACTATATGTCCTTACATTTTATTAAAATTTTTATATTTTGCGTGTGTGTCATATTTTGTCGGTTTTGGCCTACAAATATGAATAACGTTTATTCCTATCATATATACGTTATATAATTGTCTCATTCTTGAAACAGATATAATTACCTTTTGTGCGTTTATCTTTATGAAGTTTTAACTAAAACACTATTTTACTCGGATAACGTACACGTTATGTTACATGAACATCAAAATTATTACGGTTGCCCGATTACATAACGTGTATGTCACGACTTATTTTTAAATAAAAATTGTTCAAAACGATCCTTTTTATTCCTATATCGACCACTTTCGCTTATTTTGTTTATTATAAATGCAAACAAGTTGTTGCTCATTTTGGAGAGTTTTGTTCAAAAGAGAGTCTTGTGTTGTGGTAATTAAGATTCGATGTAAAAGAACGACTTTTCACACGGAAAAATCTAGCCACGTATAATTTATTTAAACAACTTATTTTACAACGAATAAGAAAAATCTGGAAACTCCATTAATCTGCTCCCATATATCACTCATTTACCGAGCCAGCCAGTCAATAGAAACTTTCATCCCTAAGTGAAAAATGACCGTGATAAATCGCTAGTCGATTTTACGCGCGTCATTGTACAACTCTTTCATAGGTGTCTACCATAGAACATATGTGGTAACTTTAACTCCTTAGAGAGTCTATCTGTGTAATATACATTGGCTTGTCTCGCAGATACTAACTTAGAATTCTTCCTCTACACGTATTATTACGCGTAGATACTCGTATTAATATATTTAATTAGATACTGAAATTTTGTTAAAAATGTAAGGTGTTCTAAATCCTTTGAACTCTGTTGTAGCAAACATTTAAAAAAAAACACTGCTAAAACCAATTGAAAAACGAATAAATCCAAATATCCCAATATTATGAGTCAGAACATTCGAATAAATACTAAATTAGTCACTGGAATGTATGAAAATCTACAAACTATCGATCCGTTTAATTTTAAAACAAATGAAAGATTTATACACTTATGATGTGTGTAGATACTTCTGACAATTTTAGAGCTAAAAGTACCGAGGAGAATCATGAAGTCTTGAAACGACGTAAATCCAAGAGCGCACAGATTATTTCTGAGCTTTTCTCTGAACATCGTCGGGATGACATTCGAGATCCTGATCGCTGATTCTGTCGTATTTCCATTATGAACACATCCGACCGGCAGTGATGTCGATCTACGCGAAGATGAGGCCAACAAAGAGGCTAGGGAAGAACCTTAAGGGAGCTGTGAAAAAAAACGATCTCGTGGAGAATTTTCTTCACGAACATCGAGGGGTTGTTGTATTACGGGCTGGGTTGAATTGACTACCCCTTCATGAGTCGTTTTAAAAGTCGTTCAGCGTATAGTCTTTCTACGAAATATTTACCTTACCATACGTACGCAAACAATTTCGAAGATATATCACGAAGAAGATATCTTCGATCGTTTTAAAGATCTGTATGTGGATGAATGGATTGAAACTAGACTTCGTTTAATTTACTAAACGTATAATACACAGCGTTCTTAAAGAAATGTGTTTGAAATATGAATAAAAATGGTTATCACCATCGCTAATAGTACGAAGAATTCCTTTCGAAGCATTTAGAGTGATTTAATAAAGAAGTCTCGCAAACTTAGATTATACGTGAAATGAAATATTTGTCAGAGATAGAGGCTAACTGTATAGGTACAAAAGAAGACCGGTTCTGGGTAGTTTTTCTTTCGATCCTGCAAAATCCTTTTAAGAGCGAACTCACAGTATAAACGAGACTTTCTTCGCTGTTATTGATTTCTAGGCGGATAAAAACATAGCTTTCGCGACTCGATTAATTATTTCATCGTCGATGAAACGATTTTTATTTTTTCATACGAGAACACGCGTGAAACATATTCGATAGGCGGTAACGCTGTTTTCCCTTTCGCTTTATTTTTCAATTTATTCTGCGCTGATCCATAAATCATATTATCATTAAAACGGTTTTACGCGGTGAGGTTTTGATAAATTTCGTCCCGTAAATAAGAACCTATCGGTATAACAAATTTTTCAAGTGAAACCGTTGTTTCTCTCATTCTATCGGGCAACGCATATAATTATCACTTGTCCGATTATAGACAGGGTATAACCATATATTATAAATTCTCCACTGATACTACACGAATCCAAGTAATGTTTCCATTAAGCTGTTTCGCGAACGATAAATGCATGTAGCGCAATCCTCTTATGAATCCTTCAATATTTATGATTCATTCACGCGTTGATTTCAGAAGTTTCGCAGTTCTACGCTGCGTGAATTTTTTCTCATTTGCTATATTTATTAATTTTTTTAATATTATATGATACAGAGATACACATTGAAATCAAATTGACCAATTCTATCGAAGTTTAGAAGAATTATTTACTGACATTAACGTTGGCTAGTACCTAAAATTTTGATAATAAAATTAATCTCTTGGCATACGAATTAAGAAAACGAGATCCTAAGGATACAAACTTGAGATTCGTAGCACGATCGAATAGACGTTTACATAATTACGCAGACGATGTATTATGCTTATGGTGGAATATAAAAATCAGGGCACTGTTGCACAATAATTCACCGCAATATTGGTGAATTGAGAAGTTATAAGGTTGTAAACTCCCTTTCTAGAATTTTACAATTTTCAGTTAAATAGTTTTTATTATTTTCTGAAAAAATGGTTAGGAACTTTAAAGTGCAGAATAGCTAATGGCTTTACCGTATAAAGTCAACTGATATTAGCCTATAATGACATACATATATTAGAGGCGTTAAGAAGCTTATATTTGTCTCTACGATGAACTTTAATACTCCCAAATTCGACGATTAATACAACAATTCCCATTATTGCCTTTCGGTAGTAACAGGAAAATATCGATTAATCATTGAGCAAGCACAAGCTGCCTTTTTTCTGCAGGAAAGGGATTAGCAAGTACTGAATAGCATTACAACATTCGTAAAGAACGAAAGAAAGCAAGAGAGAGACAGACAGACAGACAGAGGGAGAGAAAGAGAGAGAACGTACTGTATTTACTTTTGAAGTTGTAATATTCGATACGACCGATTTGGAACGGTGACCTACATTGATTTGCTGGAATATGACTATGGATCATAGCATGGATGGTCGTAGAAAGCGAAATTGTCAATGTAGGGATCCAATTCCTCCCAGTTGCTTTTGAGAGATCGGAGATGCCTGAGGGAGTTGAAATGATCGCAATCGAAATCACTATGGTTGGCAGAACGCGGACAACAGCAACAGGCGATTTCTGGCTTCGCAGAATGGATCCGTGCCTGCTTACGTATATACATGTATGCACATTGCTACCTGGAAAGCTGCACGATATGCGTCTGTGATGTATTGATTGGAAGCTGGGGCTACAGGTGGCTTTCTGGCGCTTGCGCCATGAGGGTATATGAATAAGCTCTCGTTTCCTTATTAAAATCCCCCATGAGCTTGCTGGAGTAATCATTACCCGAAGCCTGAGTTTGTATCTCTCGCCTCTACTCTCTCTCCCTTTTACTCTAGATTCCTCTACAGTTCTTGTCTATCGAATTCTATGGAGAATCGCTCAACGTTTTCAACATTTTCCATTTTTCTAAAGCAAAATTCGCAACCGTCAGCGAATTCTTCTAGCGAAGTTTATTTATTTCACTAGAGTGGTATATACATACATGAAACGATTCACGAAAGTATTTCAACACTCACTATAGGAAACTTCCCATCATTCATCGTTCGTGTATATTTTGTACGTATACTATACATAGATCGTGAATTTTTATATATTTACGCGAAATTTAAAGGTAGAAAAATACACAGGTCATGGTATGCAAAAATAT